TCCATTGCTTATCCTACAGCACCATCCCAGGACCAAGACCATTAGCATCACATACAAGCCCCTTTATAATATGGCCCTGATCACTGGGGATTCTATGCCTAAATACAAAAGTTTCCAGAGTGATAGCATTATGTAGTTCAAATCCTACCTTTGCCAGGCCCCACTGCAAGGGAGAATCTTTCTTCATTAAATTGAGGAGCGTCCACAAGAAAATTGGCCTAGTGTTCATTGGTTTCTATATTCAGCCAGATTTTTAGAGCCTAAGCTTGCAGTCAGCTTCTGATTCTGGAACAAATATTTTGACCTTTGGCCCTTTGTACAGATGTCAGGGCATTGGTCCTGACTCCTCTAGCCTTTATAGTAAATTGTCCTTTCAGGTCTCCCAATTCATAATAAACCACGGAAATAAGTTTTAACCACCAAGCAATGGAGAAAGGATCATGAGGTACCTTTTTCCCAGAAATATCTCTGCATATGGGTGTTTAATTTTGGGGGCAGTCCTGTAGGATAAGCATTGGACTACAAGCCACAAAGTCAACAGTTCAAACCCTCCAGCTGCTCTTTGGGAGAAAGATGTGATTTAAGGTCTCGGTCTGGGGACTCCTGAGCTCATGGGCAAGGACATAGTAACGGAGGGCTAGAGTTGAGCGTGAAGTGTCCAGCTGCTTTGACGTGAGGGCTGATGCACAAGAACACTCAAACTTGTAGACAGTACTCAATCAACCTAGCCTTGATGGCTTGATGATCAGAACTCGACTAGAGGAAAATAAGAAAACAATGTCTGATAAAGGAAACAAGTGTGAATTGCTACAATTTGATGAACTTGACCTATATTTATGGATGTAGTAGCTCAAAACACCAACTGAGAGGGAAGGAGTCTTCACATCAAGTATCAATCCTATCCCCTCTGTATACAGGGTTGATGTTGTTGTTGTTAAGTGCCATCAAGTCGACTCCTACCCATAGCAATCCTGTATAGGGTTTCTGAGGAGCAGCTGGTGAACTTGAACCGCTGACCTTGCAGTTCAAACGGCTTTGTAGTCTGGCACATTAACCCATAGCACCACACCAGGACTCCATACAGGGTTGATGGTGGTGGTGGTGGTTATGTGCCGTGGGGTCGGAACCGACTCATAGCGACCCTGTACAGGGTTTCCAAGGCTGTAAATCTTTACAGGAGCCTCATCTTTCTCCCGCAGAACAGCTGTTAGTTTCAAACTGCTGACCTTGAGGTTTGCAGCCTGATTCATAACCACTACGCTACCAGAGCTCCTTATAGGGTTGATAGGGATGGGCAATTCAGACATTGGCTACCTAAAATGTGGAATGTGGGGAAGGGGTGCTATGAAGGCACAAAGTGACTGGCTTACAAGTTTTCAAGAGTGAGTCTAGCATCAGAGTGTGAAGGGGAAGGTAGAATTCCCACTGAATAGTTTTCAACTGGTGAAAGGAGATGGGGATAAGAGTCTTACGATTTAATAGTGAATAATTATTCTCATGACTAATTGTGAGAATCACAAGTGTAAAGGTAGATGTTTTGTAACAGAAAGGGGGGAGTAGTTAATCTTACTGTCCCTAGGCCCATCAAGGGAGAAGAGCACGTGTGGAATGTGGGACTCTATCCAGAGAAGCAGGGACACCAGAGATGGAGGCAGAGATGAGGATATGGAGAGATGGAGCAGCTGAGGACTCTAAACTCATGGGAAGACAAAGGCTGTGTGCTGGTGGCTAGGAGGCAGGCTTGCAGAATGTGTCCTTTGCTTATTTAAATTATTATATATTCCTGAGTGTTTTTGTGTACATCCCCCCCCCACCACCAAAAACAAACAAACAAACAAAAACTGAGGGAACAGAAGCAAATACTGTTGAATGATGGTGCATGGAGATTATAATCATTGCAATTAAACGATGAGTGTAAAACTGATGTTCTCCCATGTAAACTATCATTTAATTCACTATACAAATTTAAAAAATAAAATAAAAAAAAGATTTAAGGTCTTGGAAATCCTATCCAGGTTTGCTATGCGTCAGAACCAATTCCACGGCACACAGCAATGACAGTTAGTCACAAGGTAAGAGGCTCAAACTCACCAGCCACTCCTTGAAAACTCTACAAAGGGTTGATAGGAGTTGTAACTGACTCAAGTGCACTTGACAACAACAACAACAACAACTCTGCCAATAGCATGTAAGGTACATAATATAGTGATCAACACATGTATCTGACACAACTTCACCTATTTACAGGGCCTGAACCCAGCCATAATGTTCTAGAACATCTGCATTCAATTTTAGGGCACTCATGGATCTTTTGAGGTAGGTCTGATAGATAAGACACAGACGCCAAGTTAAGTTTAAATTTCAGGTAAACGACAAATAATTGTTTAATGTAAGACTGTCCCATGCAATATTTATATAAGTAAAGAATGCACAGTTATGCATTTTTGTGAATACCTTACTTCCACCTGTGTCTTAAGAGGGTCTGAGTCTAAGAACTGATACAGAATTTCCTAACAGACCTGATGCGCCTGAGTGACTCAAAATAGGTGGGTAAAACCATTGCATGGGACATAACTGCACACATTCTTTATTGTTTATCTGAAACTCAAAGTTACCTAAACATCCTGTATTATTTTATCTGCTCAATACGGCAACCCTACTTTGAGGCCAACCACAGCTTTCCTAGGCTCATGATTTATAGAGTAAGAATTGGCCTAGACTGAGAAGAAGACTTAAGAGTCATCTTCTTTACTTTTTTACCAATTTATTAAATCATTTAAGTTTAAAATACCGTAAAACTATCCAGGGTGAGAGTGAACTAGAAGAACAACTTCCAATTCCTTGAGCTCTGAGTCAGGAATATTTTAACTGTCATCTTCGGATTTTGCATTATCATAGTTACAAGATGGACAAGGAGTCTCGGTGGCGCTGCAGGTTAGGTGTTGGTCTATTGTATACAAAAACTCATGGCTTTGAATTGATTCTGACTTATAACAACCCTATACAGGGTTTCCAAACAGTAAATCTTTACAAGAGCAGGCAGCCTCATCTTTCTTCCACAGAGAGGCTGGTGGTTTTGGACCGTGGACCTTGCTGTTAGCAGTCCAACACTTAATTAAAAGGGAAGGTCAGCTGTAAACCTCCTGAGAGATTTACAGACTTGGAAACTGCAATAACATGCAGTACCACCATTCCTTCCACAGCCCCCTCCACTCACGTGGGTTCACTAATCCACTGCAATGGCCACACAGAACTCAGACACCATACTCACAGTTGTGGGGTTTATTAGGAAAGGGAACAGGTTACAGTTTGGGTTCCAAAATGTTCAGGGTACAGTTGTTCCAGTCAGTTACTGCTAAGTGCCCACAGAACACCCTACTCCAACGTAAGTCTCAGCCTGAAGGCACTTGGCTCTAGCTCCAAGGATCACCAAAACCTACCCGTCACTTATATGCCTGGAGGCACCCCACTCTACTAGAGATCCTCCTGCCCAAAGCCACTCAGTTTTACTCAATGGGCTGGGAAGTCCACTGCTCTGTCTCGTGCTCTGGTTCCTGGTTCTTTGCCACTCCTCGGTGTCATAAATTTCTTTCTCTGGATTAAGGAGGTTTAAAGGGCAAGGATCTTGGGATCCAAAGGACTTATTCTGCTCCTGGCTCTTCTTCTTTGATGATGGTGAAATCGCCTTTCCTGCTTCTGAGATGGCTTATTTTATACCCAGGCTAGAGTTTCAAGGTTTTACAATTACAATGAACTCTGCTAACATGCACAGCTGAATCATGTCATTACTATCTTCTCCCATCTTCTGTTTTTGAGACCCAACAAGGCAGAAACTATGGCTCAAAGAAACATATTTGAGAATTCACTACATTACAGAAACCCTATGTACAGTCACTATGAGTTGAAATAGACTCCATGGTATAGGGTTTTTTTAAATGTGAGATTCACAGTGTTACAAATATGGCCAGAAATTTCCTTGCTGAATTCCTAGAGCAGAAAGATGTTGCATCAAATTCTGGAAATAGCGTATGTGGAAATCACATTACATAAATAACAGATGTTCAAGGCTGAAGAAGAAAGGGACGTGAAACATGTAAATTCTATTATGCAACAATCCCTGGGACCGGGACTACAACTATAGCAGAAAACTGAAATCTTCATTTCTATTTTACCAATAAGTTCAATCACAGCGGCCATCAAAACCTTTTTCTCTTAGTTTGTCATTCCATGACTAGTTTGTCATTCTATGATTAGGCTAACTACACTACGAAATTTCCTAGAGCAGGGGTTCTTTGAACTTTTCTCCCGTTTTCACATTTTATTTGGAAAAGGAACGAGGTAAAAAGTTCGACATGAAAACTTCAGTTTTTCTTCTATCTTGACCCCTAGTTTTTGGACTGGGGGTTGTTAGAATTGGGTTAGTGACCGAAGTCTATGAAAAGATTTCTGGAGTACCGTGAATTCCCTGCATATATAATTTTTAACGTCCGGATAATTGTGCATTGTGAGGAAAGCATCCAAATTTTTACTTGAGACTCAAAAGAGTCTATGCCTAAGAAATCCCGATGCAGGATTTGTGGAAGGAAACTGATGCGTTTGAATGGCTCGGAATAGAAAGACAGAAGCTCTGTTCTAACTAGCACCAATGCAAAAAGTTTTACCAACCGCCCCCACTTCCCCTCAGCTCCCCAAATTCCTCGTTCCCTTAGAACGTATGTCCTCGGTGGGAGGGATCACTGCTTGCCTCTCCCAAGTTTCTCTCCTGCCGCATTCCTTTCCTCCAAGCGCTTCGGCGTCTGCTGACGTCATGACGCCACACACGCAGTCCCGCCCCTGCAGAGATCGGCGCTCGCGAGGACCCCGCATTTCGCTCAAACCCGGAATGTGAGGCCTTGGCTGGGCTGTCTCCTGTGCTTAGACCCTCTCTTTATCTGGGTCCGTGTCCGTTGTCGCTGTCTCCCTGCTCGCTCCAGAAGTAGCCAGGGCGGCCGTGCCCTTCTGCCGGCTGCCCGCGTGGCTTCCGCCGCCCCTCCGAATCCTCCGGGGCCTCAGAGGAGTTCGCTACGGAGGGAGGCGGGGGCCTTCGGGAGGAGGAGGCGGAGGAGGCGGAGGAGGAGGGAAGGAAGATGGCGGCCGTGGAACTAGAGTGGATCCCAGAGACTCTCTATAACACCGCCATCTCCGCTGTCGTGGACAACTACACCCGCTCCCGCCGAGACATCCGCTCCTTGCCCGAGAACATCCAGTTCGATGTTTACTACAAGGTATGGACCATGGGCCTGCTCTCTTGCCGCAACCTATGGGGCCGCACCCCCTTCCACGTCTGCGAGCCCCCGCAGTCACCTCTCACCCCTGGTGGCAGGATCGTCTCCCGAGACATCTGGTGCGGCCTCCAGATTGCCAGTGTAAAAACACACTGCCTCCCCATCCTCTGTTTAAACTCTTGGAACATGATCGCTTCCTGATGAGTTTTGCCCCCTTTTGGTCTTGCCGCCCCCCGGTGGGTAGGCCATTTGTGTAGACTTTCTCTGTTGCACTCCTGTCTCACTCAGTCCCCCTTTCCAGCCCATGTCTTCGGGATATTTTCCACCCTCTTTCCCCCAGTTAAGTGTCAGCATCAACTGGACTTTTTGCTCAGTTCCTGTAACCCCCTTCCTACTTTCTTTCCTCTCTCTGCCCTCCTTCCCCAAGTATTTTTCTCCATTATATTTCTTCGTTTCTCCTTTCTTTTTCCAATCAAAAGATCTTTGGAAACAGCCCGTGTGTGTACTTGATTTGCATATTCTTTATGGCTTTGATTTTTGTTTATATTAGAGGTTTGATTGAGGATTTTTTAAATACGGGAGTGGTGATCAGCTATTGGAAGGAAAGAAATTTTTCTTGAAAGAAAAAAAAAAAAAAACCTTCAGAATTTAAATTTTGTTCATGTATTTGAAAGTTGCAATCTTGTAGCATTCCTAAATCGCTCCCCCTCAAAACTCTGAACAGAAAGTCTCCAAGTCATTCTCCAAGGAGTTTCAAGGGTAAGTGTGTTCAGACGTGGACAGTTTTCACAGTGTTTTTAGAGGGAGGAGAACTTTATGGACTTGGAGCCTCCTCACATTTGAATGTGAACACTGGATTTATTATTCAGTTCTCCTTGCTTTGAACCGGTGTGGAGAACTATTCTCCAGTAGCCACTCAGTACAAAATTTGAGCAGAAGTAGAAGATGATTTATTTTTGTGATCGTAAATCCTTTGACTTGACTTGTAAGTTGGCCAGAATAGTGTAAACTGATACTTAGCAGATGTTTATGTTCTTATATATGTACGCTGTTTTCTGGCAGTTGTTTTATTGGGAAGATCGCCCACTTTCTCCACCCCCAGATTTTTTTTTTTTTTTTTTTACGATTAGCAGCTGACGTTCTACATTCTACCAAATCCAGCTGCTTTGCACCAATTCTAACAGTTAAAAACCATTAAAAAATGTATTTGCAAGGGTTCATTTTGGTCATGTACATTAAATTTGTTTTTAGAGCAGTTTTTCCATTTAAAATTCCTTGGATACATCAGTTGACTTCTGTGTACCTAAGGAAATTTTATACTTAAGATGTATTCGTATGGAAAAAGTATGGGTTAGATTTGTCTTGTTGACCTGTTTTGTGTGTAGCAATCTCTGTCCACTTTTTGAAAATCATATGTAATCTTTTATACTTTTTCGAAGAAATCATTGGGAATTTATTCTCTCAAAGCACACCAGTAGTTGGATTCTCTCAAAATACTTGGATATCTTCTAGTAAGTTTAACTTCAAATGAAAGCTTTTCATTTAAAAATTATTAGTGAGTATGAAAACTTTTACTCCTTAATAGTATGCCTGTTGGAATTATGATATTGTGTTAAGCAAGGAAGATGCTTAACATGTGCCTTGGACTGTGTTAAGTGCTTTTGTTGTTGTTGTTGTTAGGTGCCATCGAGTCGGTACCGACTCATAGCGACCTTATGCACAGCAGAATGAAACACTGCCCGATCCTGGGCCAACCTCACTACTGTTGCCACGCTTGAGTCCATCAATGCTGCCACTTGGCCAATCCATCTTGTTGGGGGTCTTTTCTTTTTCTCTGACCCTTCACCTTACCAAACATGTTGTTGTTATGTGCCGTGGAGTCGGTCCCAACTCATAGCGACCCTGTACAGCGTTTCCGAGGCTATAAATCTTTACGGGAGCAAAAAGCCTCATCTTTCTCCCGCGGAACAGCTGGTAGTTTCGAACTGCTGACCCTGAGGTTTGCAGCCCTATTTGTAACCACTATGCTACCACAGCTCCTTTTACCAAACATAAGTGCTTTTAAATAATGTTATTTTTGTTTAATCTTCACAATTAAATTGTAAAGTAGGGAATCCTTGTTTTACAGGTGAGAAATACTTTAATTAGGGTCTCATACCTGATAATCTAGTTCCCAAACTGGCATCTATATTTAGAGCTGATTCTTTATAATGGAACTTGCTTTTTTGCTTAGGAAGATTTTCGTTTGGTGGTGGTAGATGATTTTAATGAGAGATGGTATAGTGATGCTTTTGGTAGAGGTAAAGTTGATGCTTTTGATAGAGGCCTCTAAGAGTGAAAGTCAGTCTCTGGATTCTGGCCTTTTAAGGAGACATAAAAAATATTTATATTCCTTTAAACACTGTCAACAATTGTAAATGCACATATAAATAACATAAGATGCCCATTCTCTGTAACTTGAGAAAATTTTAAGGGGCTGGCTATTTACAGTTTTAAATTTTTTCCACTAAAGAGCCAAAATGAAGCTCATAAATCAGATCTCTTTAACAGCCCCACCTCCATCAATAAGTGTGGCCATAGACAAAATCCCATGTTTGTGGAATCAAAAATTTCCCCATCCCTTTGGATTAATCTAGTGCTGTTGTGTTAATTTTTATTAGTAGCTAGTTAAGGAATGAAGTGAAAAAATAGGAATGCAGACTTTGAGAAAGGAGAGTCAATATACATGGAAAGAGAAAACATTTTTTTTTAAAAGATTGGAAGACATCAGAATATGCTTCTAAACTGGCAGAAACTGGTTGCCCCAGGAAATGAAGAGTGAAGTCCTTAAGTGAGAGCATTAGTTAATGAGTCCTGTCCCCTTTTACTCATTCCTTTCACTGTATATAAATTATTAGTCTGAAATTAGAGTTGATGGGAGAAACTTTTCCTCTCAGAAAAGGAAGAGTTGAGGGTCTAATCTAAAAGGCATCAATGTAAGTACATTTTCAAAGGATGACTGTTGGAAAGTGGAGCTAAGATCATCTGCTGCAAGTAAATGACAGACAGGATTGATAGTGTTTCTGAAGAATGGATAATCAGAATTTTGAGATAGCTGCTGAGATATTTAACTAAAAATGTCTAAAAGAATTGACAAATAGAGTAAGCACTGAACTGTAAGGTCGGTTTGAACCACAATGTTGGCTGTTTAAACTCACCAGCAGCTTCTTGGAAACCCTATACGGGTTGTTATGAGTTGGATCGGACTCGACTGCACTTAACAAGAACAATATAGGGCCTCTATAGGACCAGTCTCTGGAAAAGGGTATCATGTTTGGTGGGGTGGAGGGTCAGAGAAAAAGAGGAAGACCCCCGGCAGGATGGATTGGCAAAGTGGCAGCATCAATGGGCTCAAGCGTGGTAACGATAGTGAGGTTGGCCCAAGATCGGGCAGTGTTTTGTTCTGCTGTGCATAAGGTCGCTCTGAGTCAGTACCGACTTGATGGCACCTAACAACATAGGACTCCTGATGTGGTACTAGAGGATCAACAGTGGACTGTGAACCACAAGGTCGTCATTTTAAACCAACCAGCTGCCCCTTGGAAACCTTATGCAGGGTCACTATAAGTCAGAACCAACTCAACAGCACTTAACAACAATAGGTTCTTTGTAAAGCGCCCAGATGGCACAGTGTGCTAAGAATTGGACTGCAAACCATTCTGCAAAAGAAAATTTAGGCAGTCTGATTCCATAAAGATTGACAGCCTCTGAAGCCATGTGCAACAGTTCTCCTCTGTTCTAGGGTTGCTGTGGGTTGGAACCTACTCAACAGCAGTGGGTTTGATGGGTGGTCCAATACAGATCATGCTGTATAAAAAATGGCTTTCAGAATGTTTTTTCTCTAAATATACACAAACATTTCAGTATAGAAGGTAGATATGATGAATTTTGAAGCCGATCCAGAATTGAAGCAATTGTATACAAAATGAAAGCAAATAGAGTGAGACCAAGTATTGGCTGTTTTAAAAAATGAAGGTTATAATATTTTATTTTTATTTTAAGTAGCTGTTGTTAAGTGCAGTTGAGTTGGTTCTTACTCATACCAGCTTCGTTTAGGGTTTCTGAGGCTTTAAATCTTTGTGGGAGCAGAAAGCCTTATCTTTCTCCAAGGAGTGAGTGATTGACAGTGCTTATCATATGGAGCCACTATGCTCCCATTTTAACTAGTTGTTAAGTGCCATCATGTTACTAACTTAATAGTAACCCTGTATAGGATTTCCGAGGAGTCTATTTTTTGTATTGTTACAAATAGAAAGTTTGTCAGAGTTAAGTTTTAGCTAAGAGAAATATTTCAGTAATGTGTCCTATTTATTATTTTTACTGTCCCAAATCTATCGATTTTGTTTTTGTTGCTGTCTTGGACTGAAGACCGTACTAATCAATGCTAGATATAGAATTAGAATTTATGTACTTTTTTGTTTTTTTCTGTGTATGTGAGAGTAAAGCAAAAAGTATTACTACTGGGTTCCAGTTCATTTATGCATTATCTTATTCCAAACGTGTGGCGCTGTGGATTAATGTGCTGGACTGCAAGGCTCGATTGAACTGTAAGGTCAGCAGTTCAAGCTCACCAGCTGCTCCTCAGAAACCCTATACAGGGTCGCTAGGGCTTGGAACCTACTCTCCGGCACTTAACAGCTAACAGCAATTCCAAACAAGGAGTCCTGGTGTGGTGCTGTGGGCTAATGCGCTGGACTGCAAGGTTGGCAGTTCAAGCTCACCAGCTGCTCCTTGGAAACATTATCCAGGGTTGCTAAGAGTTGGACTTGACCCAACAGCACTTAACAACAACAAATTCCAAGCAAAATGTGCATGTTTCTGCAATAAGTGGATGGCTCCAGGCAAATTATCTTAGTAATGCATTTGTCTTAGTCTCATTAGGGTATCTTTAAAAAAAAAAGCTTTAATCTGAGAAGAGTGGCTTCTGAGTGGATCTGGACCAATTAAACTCAGATAGGTCATTTTAGAAGGTTACGATGACTGTGTTTTGGGATCTCAAAGGGATAATCTTGATAGACTTTCTTGAAGGACTCAGAACGGTCACTGGGACTTCCTAGGAAGAAGTTTTAAGGCCAGGAAA